TATGGATGTTTTCAACAGGCCATAAGGAAGACATTTCATAGTGTGTGAGGTTCGAGATGATTATATAAAGCTCAAACACTGTCAGTGGGTGTCCGATGCTGAATTAGTACATTTGGGTCCCAAATTATATCAATGACAGTCTCGCCGAAGACCCGGGTTCGATTCCCCACATGGGTACAAAGTGTGAAGCCCATTTCTGGTGTCCCCCGCCGTGATATTGCTGGAATATTGCTAACAGCGGCGTAAAACCATACTCACTCACTCAATGACAGTATAATGAAATGTATCGTACTGCCAATATAAAATATATGCTTTAAATAGACACAGACACACAACGAACAGACTGACAGACGCGCACCTGTGTACGCACACATACCCACGCACGCACACGCACTGTTCCTGGCTATGTAAGATAATTTACTTGAATATGTAATTCCTATAAGACCATGAGCCACATGTATGTCCCTAGAATGTTTTGTTAGAATCCGACAATGAAAAAACATTAAGAACGCCTCTGTCCTCGAAAGTTACAAAGTTAAGTTACACAGAAAAGTCAAACTTGAAATAGAATTAGGTGATGATGATTCTGCTGCCGATAATGATGATGATAATGATGACGATGAGGAGGAGGAGGAAGAGGAGGAGCGTGTTGGAGATTTAACGTGCGCTTCCGGGGGACCCGTTTTCGCACTCGTATGAAAGACACCAAAGTTTGCAAATATACTGTTCACACTTTGCTAAGGATCAAATCGTGGATTCGACAGAAAACTATGATGTGGGGTCAAATTTGGTTTAAATATCTATTAGTAAGCTTATTGTTAGCTTGGATCCTAGGTTTCAGTATGTCATTGCATCTTGTGGATCCCATACCTGTTATTGACAGGTGTTGTTTATTTGTCAATGGCTCGTTCCATGATTTGCAATATGGTTGATTCGTACCATGAAAACCATTTTTATGGTTACTCATGTATCAAATGCATAAGTTTAGATTAAAGTGGCTGTTTGCCCAAAGAAGGGTTACCATATCATTATTTATCCAGTTTTAAATGGATGCAATTTCAAATTATAAATCTACGTTTAAGTAAAGTTGTGATTGTTTGTGATCCTTATCAAAGTGTGAGTAGTATACCAGCTATAGAATACTAACTGTGATGGATATGGAAGGATTCATGTACCGCTGTAATATGTACAAATGCACCTTCTCTGTATATGGGCCAGTGGCCTTTATACGACTAAAAACTTGACTAGACCTCCCAGTGAATATTACATATTTTCATGAAACGTGTGACATTTTCAGTCCCAACTTCTGACTTATTTGATTTACATGAAGCGTGAGACAAACCGTACCCCTTGTAAATTGCTAGGTCCCTTAGTTCCATGACTTTCATCATAAATTCCTTATTCCTTGAAGAACGTTGAAAGAGTAGTACTAAGTCCAATATTGGCGTAGACTGATACAGTGGAATTCACCAAATCGTATTGATGGCATAAACCGGTGAAATTATTCGACGTCAATATCGTCATCTCGGAAGGGTTGTCGGGAGGGCAAATTGAATTTCTCAATGCGCTTAGAGCATGCTTCCGGCTAATTGATTTGTCTCAACTTGGATCCTTCTGGTTGAAGAAATTCACATTACTTGGAGAAATTTAGAGCCAGTCAATTCGATAGCAGTTCTATATTCATCCATTTTGATATCCCGAATATTTATGGTTCCAAGGTTAACTGGAATTCGGTTTGGGAGGGTCTCACAGCGGATACGGTCTCGTTCGCGTTATCGATAAACAATTCCGTCGATGAGGAAAAGAACTGGCTGCAAATATTGCAGCGAACGCAAACTTGCCCAACGAGGAAAAAATATTTTACGAGGGCATCTATAAGTTATGTCTTCAGTCGATGAGGAAACTGCTGAGATGTTCGGAAGTCTTCGTGATAACTCGTGAATATCCGGCTTTTAGAATTTCGCGAAGGAATACAACCTTGAAACTATTTCTTGATGGGGCTTTAATTGTACAAACGCGCTTGATGTGATCTGAAATATCCCTAAAAACCCATAATACTTAACAAACTGCGTTCTTCGCTCACCGAAAATATTGATCGGAGTTGTATGAAAGCTGCCAAGTGTGTTCCGTATGTTTGTTTGTTGTTTAACGCTCAGCAATATTCCAGCTATATTCCAGTTAAAGCGTTCGCCCATCACACCGAAGACCCGTGTTCGATTCCCAACGTGGGTTCAACGTGTGAAGCCCATTTGTGGTGTCCCCGTTGTGATATTGCTTTAATATTGCTAAAAGCGGCGTAAAACGAAACTCATTCACTCACTAACGAAAACCGACCTAAAAATAGTGCTTCGTTGTAACTGCCTCTTTGGTTAAAGACTGGTTCACACAAAAATCCAGAGTATTATTAATCATTTTGAAATCGTCGTGAACATCAACTTTCTGTTGTGGTCGAGTAGTCCAGTAGATAAAGCTTGTGCTCATCGCGTCAAAGACCGGGCTCGATTCCTGACAAGCATATACACCAATGCTGGTGCCCAGCATAATGGTTTGGGGCACGAAATATTTCTTTAAGAAATGTTTAAAAACAAATAAACTCACTTTCACGGCGAACCTTGCTACAGCAACAGAGCCGAACAGGATAACACTATACAAGTCTCCCTCTACAGCGACGGAACGCTTCCATCGTCACTGGAAGGACGTGGAATAAAACCTGCCGATAATTGGACTGACCCTGTCGAATACAGGACACGTGTTGTGATTAGTGACAACTGTCAGTATAACCGATGAGTTTCGGAATAGAACGAGTCGGATATGTATCATAGAAATATACATCAATACACTGTCAACACAGCCAGCCTCGACATGTATCGTCCATCATTGGAACAAGTCTATCAGTTCCTTGTTATTTCTTATCAAATAAAGAGCTGTGACAAAACACGTGGAAATTGGATAAGATATCTCTGCTCGTAGTATGTGGTTTGATCATTATATAACATTATTATTATTTGCTTTGAGAGGTGGGGGGGGTAGCCTAGTGGTTAAGGCGTTCGCTCGTCACACCGAAGACCCGGGTTCGATTCCCTACATGGGCACAATGCGTGAAGCCCATTTCTGGTGTTCCCCGCCATGATATTGCTGGAATATTGCTAAAAGCGACATAAAATTAAACTCACTCACTCATATTCACGCCGCATGACTGACTGACTGAGTTTGGTTTTACGCCGCTTTTAGCAATATTCCAGCAACATCACGGCGGGGGACACCAGAAATGCACGCCGCATGAATATAGTTGTGATATTGCTGACTGCCTCGAATTAAACAAAAAACAAAAACAAACATCACTACCACAGAGTTACATTTCCATATGAGGCCGAGTGCACAGTTGCATCCCTTATTTGTGCCAGGAGTCTATGACCATGGGTTTGAATTCCGATTCGCTTTGATAATGTTTGTTAGCAATATAACTGTTGGTTCCCTACCTAAAAAAGTACGTAGCGCTACAACATTCGCAAACCTATAATAAACTATAGAGTTACGACAGGTCGTAACGTTAAGAACGCTTTGTGTATCGGGACCCTGGTGTTACTAAAGTTGTTTCCGTTTAAGTCCTTCATTACCTCGCTCTTTCCCCCACATAAATAAAACATAGCGGCTTCAAATACACATACGCGTCCACTAACATTTCTTCATCAAAATATACACACGCAATACTAAATCTGCAAATATGATGATTTTAATGTACAGTGATAGATACGCTGAATAACGCTCTTGTCAATTTACCTCTTTAATAATTTTGGAAAACGGCACTCATCAAGCATTGCTACAAATAGAGAAAGTTTGAGTTGATGTATATGTATGTATCACGTACTGTACAAACACTGCTGGATACACATAAATAGCTTCAGTGTCTAGTGACCTATATAATTCTACGTACCAATCATTTCTGAAACCAATTTCTGGAATCGATATGGCACTCCGTAAGTTGTGACATTTACTGCTTCACCGATACCATCGAGTGCAGACACTTTCTTACAATTCACTTTATCTTTATTTATCGTCATCAATAAAGATACGCATCCACGATAACGGGACATATTAGGAACAGTTTAAGGAGTTATCAACGTTCGTGAAGAAGGCAATTAGGTTGGAGCTGCGAACGTCATCGCAATAGTAACCCCGGTATCTCGTGATCGAGAAACAAGTACGCATGCGTACACGTTTCGCACGTGAAGCTCGTAATTCTTGGGTTACGAAGTGCTTGCTTCTTGTTGCGGTGTCTATTGTTCGTGATTGAACAGCCCTCAGGACACTGCTCTCCTGATACAATCTTGACCCTCGATATTTTCTTTGTTGAGATAGGTTGTTGTCGCAGTTGTGATGTAGAAATATAGTTGATATAGATCTATGCATAATGATTGACAAAACACGTTTCACCTTACTGAATGACTCGATGACTTCAAGTTTCCCTCGTCGTGTAATATAGCCTACTAACAGCTCCAGCTTGTGGTGCCAACATTTCACAGCTGTTGAGGTACTTGCCTTTCCATGTGTTACCCGTGAAGATCCGGGTTAGAATTAGCCTTCAGCATGTCGTCAACCCGAGATTGTAACGGGATTAACGATTAACGGGATTAGGTTGTCAGGCTTGTTGCCGTTTTGACACATGACGTCGTATCCCCATTGCATAGATCGGTGCTCATAATGTCAATCACTGGATTGTCTGGTCCAGACTTGATTATTTACAGACCACCGCCATATAGCTGGAATATTGCTGAGTGCGGCGTTAAACAACAACGAAACAAATCTTTGCATGTGTTTGTGACGGATGAAACCGCTGGGGCAGGTCACTCTCAACTTTTTGCTAGTTGGTGTTAATTCAAAGAGGCTTTCTCGCTCGTGAATAAGTAGTTGGACTATGGACTCATCTTTTGTCAGAGGTTTCTTATGAATGTGGAAATTGTTTCGTTGCTTTTGCTTATTGAGATCATCATCCATTTCAGACTCCTGGGAGCGCTTGACCGCATGGGAGTGGCCAGATCGAGGACGGAGGGCGTGGTCAGCGGTAACTATGACATCAGTGCATTGATTACACATGTTTCGTTCATCATGACAGGAAGTCTATGCAAGATATGAATACTTATGTAGACTTCCTGATCGAGTCTTCATGCATGGAACGAAACATGGATATATCAAGTCAACATATGCATGCGATTTGGTGATGTGACTTTTCTTATGCTTTTCCTTTTGTCCAAAATATGTATGAATGAATACATCCCTAATTCCATTAAAAAAACTTCAGTAGAGGTTAATATACAAAATGGTCAAGGTATTTTCATTGGGAGATAAAATACTGAAGTTAAATACACTATCTTGTGATATCAAACTTACAAAAATCATATGTACTTCTCATAGGTAATAGGGGTGGAGGGGTAGCCTAGTGGTTAAAGCGTTCGCTCGTCACGTCGAAAGACACGGGTTCGATTCCCTACATGGGTACAAGACGTGAAGCCCATTTCTGGTGTCCACCACCGTGATATTGGTGGAATACTGCTAAAAGCGGCGTAAAACTGAACTCACTCCACTCTCACAGGTAACGAACACCAGATTCTGTTAAATCACAACCGTTAATCTGTCAGATCATTATTCAATAATAAAAACATCCGTAAACCAGGACAGGAACACATTAGTTATGTAAATGAATCGGGTGTTTCGACTGATTAAAATAGTAGCATGAGATGTTTTTCTCTCTTCATTACACAGCAGATATTATTTTAAGACGGGATTAGTGTCGGGTCATATGTTTTTGTACATGTTTTGGACAAAAGGTTTCACGGCTTCAGCAAACATATACACCATCTGTGTGTTTTTTGCACGTTTCTTGAAAGAAATTATATTACATCTTAAAGCATCTGAGTGTTGTAAATCCGTTGATGGTTCTTTTTTAAGCCTTTGGTAAGTAAGGCGAGATTCTTGTTGAAGTTGAATATGCATGATTTCATTTTTTTCCATTTCGCCCGATTCCTATAGTTACCTCGTCCTACATTTTCACATGCATGCACACATACCCCCCAAAATAGAGAATTCTAAATATGAAATATTATACCAAGTATCCGAGTGGTATTCGTTTTCATAAAAGGTCAAACCTTTTTACTTTCTGTGCAAAGATAACAGTTGATGACTAAATTCTTTTTGTTCATAGATTAAAGTTGGTTATTAAAGTTTGCATCACGTTTCAATTAGTTACGAATATCACATACCATACTAGTATGAATAAATACTATTTAATAGTCGTTGATGCAGGAACATGTAAATGTCATGATACACATTAAAATATGTGATCGATATTTCGCAATGGACATTCTTTCAATCCTATCTTTTTCAGATTGCACAACCTACATGTGCTTTTCTTTTGTTCAATAATAGTGCTGTGATTTTAACAAACAACTATGCTTACCACAAAGGCACAATACCTGCAAACATATCCAAATACTGCGCTGTGATAGAGTAGCCTCCCTTTGTACATGGTTGGCACATACATAAACCTGAGAGGTGGACTTTGGTGCCGCAAATTGCTTTCATGGAAGCTTATTTTACATCATCGAGGAAATTACTTCTGATATACGCATGTCAAACAGTTTAAAACAATATGTTTTTAAAAAACATGTCAATAATTAAGCAGTGAAGTCTTCAACTGCAATTTGATGGAACTGTCAACAATTTCAGTAGAAGTGATAGGCAATAGTTGTTTGTTATTGCAATGTATGTTGTCAGTGCCAATGAAACGCATTAGTGAAATTGTCATTTCAAAAATTATCTCTGTTATCAAATTTCATTAATATCGTATCAGTTTGTGAATACAGTATCATCATAACCTCGAACTTCATGACTTCTTGTACTATCTTCACCAATGTCATTTCCATGGCTGTATGTTGTCACAATGTCTTTACTGTTATTAGTAAAATAAGTGAAATAAATGTTAAGAAATAAAAGACATAAGAAAAGTTTTTTAACTTGGATTTCTCTTCACATTAACATTACCAAAGTGATAATAAATTTTTAATAGCATTAAATTCCAATCAAGAGAGTAAAGTAGTTTGAAGAAGAATCTATGATAAAGTCATCTGATGTAACCCCAACCGAAGCTACAGACAGACAGAACCGAGTTGCCTATGACGTCCATCTTTTAACCCAAGCTCACCACACTGCCTGTTGCTGTAACCTGTTTCACCGTTGTGCCTGATATGCAGGTGAGATAACTTATAATTTTAGATTTGATGATTTTTTGGCAAACCACTTAGTTAGATATGTTGTTTACAACTCTAATATCACTGTTGTTTGTTGTTTAGCACTGCACTTAGCTATACTCCAGCATGACCCCTATTCTAAAACAGTTACACTGCTGGCCCATAAGAGCTAGAGTGAACTTTAAAGTTTTAACCCTTGTCTACCAGTGCATACTAGGCACTGCTCCGGCCTATCTCAAAGAACTGTTCAAACCATATCTTCCATGCAGACAGCTTCGCTCCAGTGACAAAAAACTTACTTCACATTCAAAAATGGAAGTTGAAATCCTATGGTTTTCGTTCCTTTCAAGTGGCTGCCACGATGAACTGGAATGAGCTACCTGCTCACCTTAGAACAAGCCCAACAGTCACATGTTTCAAAGCAAACCTAAAGACATACCTTTTCTCTATGTTTTACAAGTGACTGCTAAATTCTATCTTGTCTGCGGTATGAGCATGCTGTCGGTGTGGATTTAGCGCAATACAAATGGACTAATTATTATTATTATTACTCCAGCTATATGGTGATGGTATGTAAATAATTGTGTATGGACAGGCAATCCAGTGATTTACACAATTGGGAACTGATGACATGTGTCAAACAAGTCAGTGAGTCTGACCACCCACCCCCGTAAGTAGCCTCTTACTACAAGCATGGGTTGCAGAAGACCAATTCTATCCCAGATCTTCACTTGTCTGATCATTCACTGTGAGCAATAAATTGGTATATAAAGATCAGATAACCTTTCAGAGAAGGATGTGTCACCTGAACTGTGTAATGAGCCAATCAGTGTTAACCGTTAGATTCTCAACATTAGTGAGCAAACCATTAAGACCAGAAAGTCTGTTTTCTGTGCAAAAATGAAATTGGACAGTCACTTCCAAATGAAAGTAATGAAGGCCGTACCATATATATAGATGTGAATATTTATTACACACAGTTGTTTTGTGGTTTTTTCTTTTGTTAACATCAAAATTTCGTTAATCTAGGTGGTTAAAAAATGCAGTAGAGCTGTCTGTTGTAGAAAGAACAGGGTAGTATTGTTAAGGTGTCTTTTGGTCCTGTGGGAATGTAAAATTTTGAAGTTGCAGAAAACTTTGAAATACTGGACTGAAACATTTTGAATGTGTTCAAAATTTCCAAATGTTTTCTTTCATGCACAAGTTTTGGACATAATAATATATGTAACCAGATGACCCAACAGGACTTTTTACCATGTATTTCAACTATTTGTAAATATACTGCCTCAAAACATCAGCCTGCTTAAAATATGTGTATTTAACAAAACACCATTAAAAATCAGCATTTATAAAGCAGTTATCTACAATTTAAGTTAGAGTGAGTGAGTGAGTTTGGTTTTACGCCGCTTTTTGCAATATTCCAGCAATATCATGGCAGGGGACACCACAAATGGGCTTCACACATTGTGCCCATGTGGGAAGCGAACCCGGGTCTTCGGCGTGACGAGCGAACGCTTTAACCACTAGGCTACCCCACCGCCCAATTTAAGTTAGAAGTCCAAGACATGCAATTTGTTGAAATGAAAGTAGTATGATACTCATTGACTTTTTGTAATAATCATCATCATGAAAGATCTTCCTCATGTTTGATGTTATGCGGAATCTGTGACTCTCACAGGTCCTCATCTCCCTTGTCATCATAAGAAAAACAAACAAACACAATTATGTTTGTAAATATCTAAAATAATTTTGTTTGTAAATATAATGTTGAAAAACTTATTTAAGTCCAACACAGTTTTCTACATATTTACATATATGTTTGCATAATATTTGCATAATATTTGCATAATAAGGTAGTTTTGTCCATTAAACATCAATAAGGGCCTGTTTGGTGATGATGACGAACTGATTACTTCCTGAGGGCTTTGTACTTGACACATGAGTAACTGAAGAGGGAACTGAAGGATGAAGAATGGGCATGTGGTGCACACTGTCTGATTGGTAATTGGGGTTTTTGAGTGATGAAGCTATCGATGCAGTGTAATTGTCAATGATCCGATATATTAGGTGAGGTGAATTGGGGTTAACATCATATTTAAGATTGTTGCACTTGTTTAACGATGTGCATGGACAGGTCTCGATTTAGCTTTGGGATCTTGCACTGGTGCAACCTGTAACTGCAAAGTGCAACCACATATTTATACCAACCTGTACCCAGTGCATGTTAATATTTTGCTGTTCAGAGAACGCAGACTTCGGTTGGAATACAGAATGAGGAACTGGCTTGGACCAGTGACTCACATGAACAAATGACAGTGATTGAATGAATGTTACTTCTAATAAAATTTAATGAAGTGAGATAAAATTATCTTAACAGACCCAGAAATCATCAGTACCAACACTCAAGCATTATATGTGATTATTACATTGAGCAGCAGGTGCAACCTGCTTTTGTCTGGTGCCACAAAGTTATTACCTAAGGTTGCACCAGGTGCAAGTTTGGCGTGATAAGAAGAATGCTTTAACCACTAGGCTATCCCACCATCCCACATCATGGATGAGCCATGAAATGCTCCTGTAATGGTTGATGTTCTATCATTTATGCCAAAAGTCAAATTAAATCACATTCACAATCAGAGAAAGGAATTATAACTATGTTTTGTACAGTCATCTCTGAGACAGCTTCCAATTATTCTATCGAGGGGCGGTGGGGTAGCCTAGTGGTTAAACTATTCACTTGTCACACCGAAGACCCTGGTTCAATTCCACAGATGGGCACAATGTGTACAGCCCATTTCTGGTGTCCCCTGCCATGATATTGCTGGAAAAGGCTGAAAGCGGCATAAAACTAACCTCACTCACTCACTCATTCTGGTGAACCTCTGTGCTAGAAGTGTGGTTATAAGTTTTTTTAAATGTTTATTGATTTATTTGGAGGCTTGAATGGTGAGATTGGTTTGGGGACTGAATCAATTTTTGCTGACCCCCAAAACATTTTATGTCATTTTTCATGCTCCCAAATCCAAATTCATGTAATTATTATCAGCTCCACAAAATTGAAAAATATTAGATATACTAGAAAAAAATAGTACTGATAAATGTTTTCATGCCAAGTCAGATTTCACCTGCCCTTCCCTTAATTCATGATAAGTCCATTATGTGTTCCAAAGTCTATCTCTGGTCTCAATGAAAGTATACCATATTTCTACAGCTGTCCTTGAGACACTAGGACATTATGATGATAATATTAGATTATACTGATACAAGGACTTTTGAACCCTGCTACTGTGTTACTTTATGCTTTGTCAATGGTGGCGAACATCGGAGTAATGTTCGTCTTTGTGATACAAATGTATCATTATCATATTTATTGTACTATGCAGTCTGTAAAAGCTAAGTTATATGACGATTCAGATATTAGAAAAATCTTTAAATCTAAAAATTCAACCAATCTTCAAAGAATAAAGATTTTACTCATAATCATCGTAATAGTTACTTATAAAAAATAATCACCAAATGTGGCCACTATCCTAAATCTTTGTTTCATATAATCAGTAATAGCTTAGAAAAAAAGACCAGAGGCAGATCCATATGGGGATTGCGTGGGGATGCATCTGTTTCCACCCACCCTCCTTCTCCCCAAAACCCTGAGGAGAATTTCCCTTAATCTTTGGACTTCATGATTTATGTGCAACCCAGGGCTCCAAATTCCTGGAGACCGCCTCAGTGGTATGTAGTGGTTAGAGCATCAATATAGAGTTACTGGAAGATCGCGGGAGTCGATCCCCTACCGAGTACTGAATGGAATTAAAATATGGTATCAGTTGGTCCTGTGCCTGGCTCGCATTAATGGGTACAACATTGGACTCTTGTGTAAACAGGTCAGTATACATAAACGATGATTTTCAGATATTCATACTTCACTGTAAATGGTATCTCAGTGGGCTAGCACTATAAAACCAGCTTCAGTCTGGGCTAGTACAAGCAGCCGCTACCCATACACATGCATGCATTTCATATCCATAAATATTCTCGCCACGCCTTTATCTAAAGCCCTGTTTATGTGCACCACCACCACCTCCAAATTCCTGGATCCGCCACTGCTCTGGATAACCCTAGCAGATTGCACTGCCAGGAGCCGGTGACGCGTCTATAAAGTGTCTGCCCTTTCAAACTTTCAATGGTAAGAGATGAGTCCTTATAACCTTAGGCTAGGATTTATCTAGAAACATCTTATGAACTATGTTGTCTTAACTTATATCTTTTGGAATAGTCTGTGAGATGTGTTTTTATCACTTTAGACTGGTTTCTTTTTACAAGCTATTACTGATCTTGTTGAAACTAATATTCTATATTTATATTTTCCTAATATCTGAATTCTAATATATAACTTGTAGTGGTAATAATTAGTCATTAGTTTTGTAATAGATTATTACTCCATGATTATGTCTCCCAATGCTACCATTCTAATAGCCATCATTGACTAAGAGTTCAACAGCTGTCCTGTTTGGATATCTATTGATCAGCTTTATATTCCTTACTATCTAACAATGCAGGGTTATAAGTACAAGTAAAAAACAACAAATATTGTGAAAATATATATCTAATTCTATGAAAGGTTAGAACTCTAATTTGAGCTGTAGCAAACTTAAACATGTAATTGGCAGAACTTCATGTTTCATTTACCTCCCTTTGACTGTTCATTGCTTGAATGAAGGCATCATGGCATTTGATTTGGATGGAACTGTGTTTGGGTTTTTTTCCATATTGCGAGAGATTATACACATGTATGTTATTTTCTTGGTTTGATTGCTAATATTCAGACATTTTTTGTCATTTCAAAAAGGTCATGAGAGAAATTAACTTTCAAATAAATGTTATGATGTGAGCATGGTTTGTTGCAACTGAAAGTGATAGTTGGTTTTTGCGATATTAATGTCAAGTCTAAAATATTTCTATGGATATATTTTTCTTGACATGACTTGAGATTTAATAACTTCTTT